CTCAGGAAGGTAGTTACCTAGGATTCTATGGAGGATTTCGTGACCAGTAAGGTAAAGCATGTCGGGTGTGAGGACAAATCAGCGCTGAAAACATTGGCTAGCGTTTGCGCTACGTAATGAATTGGCAGAAGTTAGAAGCCATGGGCGATTGGATTGTGTCCCGATGGCTTTATGGTATACGAGCTCGCCTTTTAGCCAAAAGGTCCTGGGTTCGAATCTTGGTGAGTGCGTGCTGATGAAGAGTCCCAAACTAGGCTGGCGAAACAGCCGTCCGGTACTCCCAGATTTTCCAACGGTTCTCTAACCAATGTCAGCTCATGATGAAATCTTGTAATCAACCGACCAAATCCCTACAAACCAACACTTAAATATATATTTCTGTTTAACATAAATGTCGTTGAAATGATCTGACTGACTGACTGACTGGTTTCAATGTAGAACTCATAGCTCAGATGTGCACCAGTTCCACACTCCATCCATATACCATCTACAGCAAGAGAAGAGAGTAAAGAGAGTTTCGAAAGAGAGAGTGAGTGGAGAAAAAAGAATAGTGGTGTGATAGAACAATACAGTTTTATTTGATATGATAAATCACAAAGAGTGAACGGATCTACACCAGCTGGCTTAAACTAACTGTTGTGGATTTCATTGACTGACCACTAGATCTTTTCTAACCTAATCAGTCCTATGTTACTGTCTAATGCTGTCCATCAGTCGATTAAGGAAGGTAATGGCTAGGCATACATGCCTAACATATGTCATAACAACCCCTTTTCAATCAGTGTAACCGCTTCACAACCTCATCATCGATTGATTTCCCTCCTCCTTTCTCACCTAGCACTCTACACCAATGCTCACCTTATGATACCACGTATTATATCAAACCAGAGATAGAATGCAGACACCTGCGATTAAAACACAGCTAGCTACGCCTGGCTCCTGATGTCTTATACTGTGTGAATGGCCATATCTCACAGCTAGCCAGCCAGATATCATGTCTACTAAGCCAGTGAGGGATAGCGTTATTTGACTGACAAATGTCAAACAAGCCTTCTGTATACATGACAACAGTTAAGCCTGAAGATTACCATTTTGAAAGACTGATTAAGGAGGCAGAAATATTCTTTTCGATAAAAGGTGAATGATAGGCACATTACAATTCAAAGCAGTTTATTCAACTATCAAAAATCATGTGTAAATAAGGAGTTCCAAGGTAAAAGTGCCACATTTAGACGACCTACTGGACAAAAAGACCAGACGGCATTTGTAAAAGGATTTTACTTGAGAAAATCACTTTCACCGGCCAACACAGACATTTTCACAGCTTCATTTCACTCCGGTATAAAAGAATTTTCGGTAAAAACCCTCAGACATAGCGTCAGATTTATATTTATTCAAGAGTTTTCATGAAAAATAAGGCCAAGTTTTAATAAGACACGCTAATTGAAAAAGAAACAGTGTGCGTTGGTGGCACAGCGGTAGAGTGCTCGCCAACCACGCCTGATGCGGTTCAATGTTCGACCTCACCAGCCACCGACTAACTCGCTTACCTCGCTAAGCCAGTAATAAGACTGGCAAAAAGAGGGAAGGTTGCGCATGAGGCTAGCAACCCCATCGTGTAAAAATAAACATCACTGCTACCGAAACTTCAAGTCTCCTTAGCTTGAAGGCACACCTTATTTTCCAATCGGAACGTACAGAAATAAAAGAAAAATTGAAAACGAGCAGAAAACGAATTCTTCTCTATCTGTTAACAAAAAGCCTCTATATCTACATATACGACCACAATTAACAGGTGATATACCGAGTGAAATAATTATAACCAACAAGTTGAGAAAATCGATTGAAAAGCTTTTAAATTCCGGTAAGCTCTAGCTAACATTTTCCACACAACCGAATGTCATTAGAAAATTGAAAGACAAAATATGTGGGATAGCCACCTCTGTTAGTATCTTTGAATTCGCCTGTCTCTCTACGGCCAGTTATGTTAGCTGTTGCTCCAGGAACATAATTTTCCGTCCAAGGGAACACCCAACCAGTATTGAGTCTAAATAAAGCTGTTGTCAAAGCGGTCAATATTTATACTGTATTGAGTCACTCCGTTGAAACAGGGCATAAATCTGGCTAGAACTGGGGGATTTTTCTATATTATCTATTGGGTATCGCATAAACTACTAAAAGTTTGTAGATACCAGACGCTTCAAATAGCAGAGACCATTGTGGTTCGCATAAATCAGCCTGTGCTGAGGGGGTGAAAAAAAACAGCTTCACCTACTAGCAACCACACACACCGTAAAATGCAAGGTATTACCCTCGCTACTGAAACTTCAAGAATGGAGATTGAAGTCTGATGTTCTACTCAGTATGTAAGGAAAGTGAAAAAATGTAGGATTGAGATAGAAGCAAAAACCAAAAAGATAAATAATTTTTGTAAAAAATAATGAAGCGGACAGTTCAGACTTTACAGAGGAAAACTTTATCACCAGTATATACTCATGTTATGTAACTATAAGATTATAGACACCTGATACTTCCATGTTATTTCGTTTATGAGATATGACACGCGTCGGTGGCACAGCGGTTAGGACGCTCGCCGACCATTCACATGGTTAAGGGGTCCGATCCCCGGCCGACGCACTCCTTTACCTCGTTAGGCCAGAAATAAAGCTGGTAAAGAGAAAAGGTTGAGCATGAGGCTACCAAGCCCATCCTTTAAAAAAAAATAAACATTGCCACAGAAACTTCAAGCCCTATGTTCCGATGGGAGCGTGAAGAAATAAAAAAGTTGTGACACACATGATGGAACAGTATTACTGAATATTGGCTGGCAAAGGTTCCAACACAGTTTATTTATTTATCTATTGTCCATATTAATATCACCAATTATAACCAAACAACTTCGAAAGTTTCGTTTTATAATTTTCTGGGTGTAAAAATGTTCGATCATTCCTATTACACATGATCTCTCTCTCTCAGTTGATTCGGTAAATAAAGCCTCAAACAGTTATCGATTTCTCCCTCATCCAGACCCTGTTACATTAGATTTAAGAACTGTCATTTTATCCCATCATTTTGCATTGCGTGGTCATGTATAATTGCATATAGTGAGCGAGTTGTATAGCTTAGCTATTCTCTAGATTTGTTAGGTTATTAAGGTCATCGAATCCACATTTTGCTAGGTTTCTCTACTGTGAACCGCCAGTCTGACTGACTCAACGTACCCTCCTAATTTGTTTGTTCGATTGGCTTCATAGGCACGGTTCAGTAACCAACAAAAGCTTGTTTCTAATTCAGTTTGTCGGTGACTTCAATGTCGGACACTTTTATTCCTACCTGTATTGTTAAGAATTCTCCACTGTGAGGCTTCCGACGTTACTTCTTTGTATTGAAGTACCAGTTATGATGTTGTCATCATTCTGTGCATCCATGCTTGACATGAACGTCTTCATCAATATCATTATTATCGCTATTGCTATCACAACCATTAGTATTAATTTTATTTTCACATATTTCTACATACTTCTTGACTCATTTATCGCAGTTATTATTAATTAAGTTCCAAATCTCCTCTTATATGCCTCACAGTATGTCTTATATTTTCTTTGGTACTACTTAGTTTTTTGTGCCCAATTACTTAAACATTTCACCAGCTATATTTTTACTGACACGCAGTAGAATGATTAGAAATCCCAATATCAGTTTGAATGTGTGGGCTTCCTGTAAACACTAGTGTTCAACTTCCCATCATCTTTTATTTTCACCCTATAATCTAGCATTGGAAGCTCCCCTTCTTAACTTTCCAGTTGACAAACGAATCGAAAGGCCTCTATTTTTTGAGTTGATGTTTTCGAAAAATCTATTTATACCTTGTGTTTTAAGCATGGTATCAACTATATACCCCCACCATACTTTTTGGATGGGCCTGAAGATTGTAAGTCGCCAAGTTTTCCCTACTACACACATGAAAATATATGGGATTGTTGGCGATATTCGTGACCTCATGGCAACTCCTTCAGTTTACTGGTATAATTCCCCTTGGAATTTCAGTGCTGTATAAGTCAAGCCTTGCTGCTCTCCTAGGCTTATGTGTTCTATTGGTACTTTTATCGAACAAACAGGGGAGAGAATAAAGAAAATTATAAAAATGAAAGTTTCGTAGTTGTGTGGTTATAACTGACGATGTGATTATAAACAATAAATAAACAAATTGTGTTCGAAACTTTGTCATCCAGTAAATAGTAATACTGTTCCACTCTGTGTGTATGTGTGATATATGTAATAAACAAATTAATGTGGAATCGCACAATACCACAAACGTCAGGTTTTTAAAATTACCTCTTGACAACAAGTTTGAGAAAACAAGGTATTAAACGAGATGTTTAGTTATTTAAAAGCACGTTAAAATAAGTTTCATCCTTTACATTAACTTGGCTAATCTCTCTTCAGCTGTGTTCAGCTGATGAGAAGCTGACGAAATTTAACCATACTATACAAAACTTTGTTTTCGCTAACAGTATAAAGTTGAAATGTGGAATGACATTTATAAATAAAACTGTGGAGTGATGGTATAGTTTCAAAAATAAACTTTTGCTTTTCTGGCGGGACTGTGGTTAAATATTTACAATGAGATAATAATCAATGTTTAACTGCTTGCAGTATGATATGTCCACCGTTTTTTTTTAAATAAGCATTTGTAGGAGTGTCAGTTACAGCCCTGTGTATTATTACATTCAGATCGCTTTTAAATCAGACACATACTGTCAGTGGAAATTTTATCTCATATTATAGAAAGCAGATAGTGAAACTATAAAGAAGTATTGTGCTACAGCTAAAGAATATTTTTTCAGTTCCCACACAGAATGCATATTTAGAAGATCCCAATTCACTAGATCCTCGTTTTGTCTCCTTATGTGTAGGTGTGTGACTTCTAGGTAAAAATTTATTTTCCCTAACTGAAGGTTTCTAAAATACACATATACACACGTATTTGTTCAACTTACTCTGAGCGACAGTGCATTGAACATTGATCACTGATATGCATAGGTGTATAACAACCGTTTGCAGAAGCATATGAATTGAGTTCCCATTACGTACATTTGTATACTTTTGGAGACTAAACCAGGTAGATTTTGAGAACATGATGATGAAGAGATTTTTGCTTTGGTTTTTAATTAATTAATTTTTAAGCGAATTATCATTTCACAGATTTTTTTGATCATATTTGAGCAATTCTGCAATTGCAGTGTACAATATGTATGCAACGTTGTTGAAGACTATGGATGACGTTCATTGTTGCTGTTGTTGTTGTTGTTGATTTTGTTGTATAGTAGTAGTATATCATCTGAAATTCACAAAATGCATAAATCACACTATATCAGATAAACACATGAGCTCTGGAATATATTGAATAGAATATATGCAAATATTTATATATCCATAAGAAAAAATTCATAAATTGACATTCGATTTGACTCAGGAAGCACAGGACTTTGAAATTTGAATATGTTTCATTATTTGTTAGGAAAAATATTTATTTTGAATGAGTTGAATAAGTTGCTGTTATCATAATTTAATTAACTAGTTGGATGAATGTGTTCATAAACGGGAGGAGTTAAATTCCCGCGTCACTCTTCTAAACCCTAATTATGATTGGTCAGTTAATTTGCTTCGAATTTTGATTGGTTAACAATTATTGTCTGTTTTAGTTATATATTATCTTCTATTACATAAGCGATTATTATTGATAAATATTCATATATACACATATAAACATTCGCATATACAAATATATATATATATATGTATATATATTAGACTATATGTTGGGAATATCACTGTAAAAAATTCTGAACGCATCAGTCGACATTTTTTTTGATGTAGTCAGTGAAATAATTACGGCGAAGTTCAACAATAACGTCCCAGAAGTGTGAACACTAAAATGACCTTGAACGCATGCTAAACATTGGCATCTATCACTATCATAGCCGAAATATTAACGCCATTCACCGGCCTAGAAGTGAATTCCACCCAGATTACGTTCATAAGTCCTGTTTGGACAATGTGTTATTAGCTAGTTAGGATTAGGGTTAAGGCAATTATCGGGGTTAGGATTAGGGTCATAAATAACATTTAGGTTAGGTTTACGGTTAGGATAAAGGTGTAATTAGGATTACTGAGAAGTTTAAGTTTACGGTCAGGATTAAGGTAAGGGTTAAGACTAGGGATAGATTTAGATTTGATGTCATTTATTTTAATTGGTTTTATTATACACATCTCCTTGGTAAGTAGTCTTCGATCCTCTTACTGAAAGCCATATTAATTCAACTGAGGGCTTTTGGAGAGACTGCACAAAATGATAAGAGAGATAAACGATTCACAAAAACAACAGCTCATCTTCAGTCACCTCGGTGAATACATGTACGGAAACTAGTCTAACTTAGCGCAACTGATACTCCGCATTATAACTAGGAGGTATTTTTTTGGAGTTATGCGAGAGAAAGATAACTTGTTTACTGTGTTTTTCATGCATTTTCTCGTAAATATACGTCACATTTTGCGCAAATGTCACTTGTTTTTATGATTGGTTAACCAAAGGTCACTTGTGCGTTCGCACCCCTTGGGACGCTTATGTGTTGAATTTTGCCATAATTATCAACAAGTTGAGAAAATGTATTCAATTGTTTTCCGAGTTTCACCACGGATTGATATCAGTTAGAGAACTACTGAAAACCAGGGAGTACTGGACAGCTGCTGTTTCATCCTAGTTTGGGAATCATTGGCAGTACGCACCCACCGCCAGGGTTCGAAACCAGGACTTTCCGGTTAGATGGCAAGCTCATTCATTGTTCAGCCATTGGGACCCGAATCAATGGCGAGTGGATGAATTCAAACTTTTACCAGTTCGTGAATTAGCGCGACCAACAACCAATGTCATCGTTGGATAATCCATCCTCAGTGGTCACAACTTCTCATTAGAACTGCAGGAAACTCCACCCTGTAGCAGGTCACTAGTGAGCATCAGATTAATTTTCAATAGTTGGTTTGTAAGGATTAGATTTGTCCTCACGAGTTTGATCACCAATTGATATCAGTTGGAGAACCATGGAAAATCTATTCAAACAACTTTTAATGCTAGCAAACTACAAGTCATCTTTTCTACACAACCGGTTGTGACTCGTCATTTGAAAGAAAGATGAAGTACCTAGACTAGCCACATTTCTAATTGCATCTACCATTTCAACTGCGCTTGTCGTTGAGTGGGTTATAGTTATTGACTGTTGCCCTGGGAACTTGATTTTTCTGCAACATCCGCAACAGTGTTGTGGCTAAATACAGGTGTAGTTAGAAGCATGAATAGTTCGATATTAGAACACCTGGTCCAAACTGGCCAAAAAGCCAGCAGTGAAGAGTGCTTCTCTATCATTATCTATCGGGTACCAAAAACAAAACTGCCAAAAACATCCAGGTACTGCATACTTCAAACACCAGAGGTTTTCGTGATTCGCCTTAAACAACAGTTGCTGTTTGTGTGTGTGTGTAGAAGAAACAGGTACAACCAGCCACTTCTACTGATTTGGCTGACCTTCAGTGGAGGATGTAAATTCATGACTTCTGTGTTATCACTTTTCCTAGTTTTTCTGATATTCATTCAGTGTAAAGTGTCATGATGATGCCGCCGAACTGTAATCCATAGGTTAAATGTTATTCAAAACAACATTAATGTTGTTAAAAACACTAATTCTTTCATTATTATAGATGAATATATATAACTGTAGGACCTGATGATGATGAAGAGCAGGTTATTGAAAATATGAATATTCTCCGTTCAGTAATCAATCTTTTGGTATATTTTAATGGGCATTTTTTTATCAGTTATAAATAAATTTGCACGGATTAAAGATACATATATAATACTTCGAAGGCAGTCGCTATTGACAATACTAATGTGCAGGTGTAGGTGTGCAGAGATTCGGTTGGCTTCAGGATTTCATCATGAACTGACATAAGTTACAGAAGGATTGGAAAGCCAGCGGAGATTACTAGACAGCTGTTTCTGTTGTCCTATTGTTTGGGTCTTTTCAGCAGTATGCCTCCACTCCACTGAGGTTTGAAGCCAGGTCCTTCTGGTAACAAAGCGACAGAGAGAGAGAGAGAGGGAGCTCTTAGATCATTCACCCATGCCGACTCGATCCTGCCACCTCATAGCTTCCTAAGCAATAGGCAGTTTTTGTCATCAATAGAATCACCGTTCAGAAATATGCGATGTAAGTGTTACTGAATGAATATCAGATCAAATAAAGGAGATTGAGGAAGTCCAATAAGTCGTTTAGAAAATAAGACTTGTATTTTACCACCAGTATTAGAAGTACTTTGAACTGATTTTCTTAACTTCTTCACAATTGTTTGGCTAGATATACAGCCGTTGAATTGCAGTCATATGTGTAAAGGCTTCTTATTTACGCATAGTGAATAGTCCTTTTCAACTTTAGTGGTCATGTGTTTCCTGATGAATTATTCTGCGAAGAGGAATCAAAAAATAGAAATTAATTGCCTTCCTATATGTCATCCTTAGAAGAAAGCCAGATGGCAGTATAAAGAGAAATTTGCATAGGAAAACTGGTGGCGATTCCTCAAATGATAGATGAAGTAAGTACACTTGTGGTGGAGTGAATGAGATACATTGGCTATTGCTCTATGAACTTGATTTTTCGTGCTCTCTCGCGAAAAACTTACCAGTGTTGGGACTAAATAAAGGTATAATGAAAAATATCAACAGTTCGATATTAGAACACCCGATCCAAACCGACTGGCTACAAAGCTAATATTGAAGAGTCTTTCTCTGTCATCATCTATGCGGTACCACATAAATTGCCAGAAGCATCTAAGTACTGAAGACTTCAAATAGTAGAGGCTACAGAGGTTCGCCTGAGACAAGCGATGCTCTGTGTGCAGCAGCTACTTCTACTACCCTGACTGGCCTTCAATAGAGACTATAAATTCATGAATTTGTATTATTGTTGTCTTTTCTAGTTTTTCTGATATTCCTTCGGTGCATAGTGTTATGTTGATGCTGTCGAACTGTAATCCACTAGTATTATTATTATTAGTGATTCGATGTTATTTAAACAACAACATTAGTGTTGTTGTTCGTAACACTAATTCATTCATTCATTCATTCACTGTTATGGATGGATGCATATTATTGTAGAACTTGATGATGATGAAGCGCAGGTTATCGAAAATGTGAATATTCTTCTCTTCAGTAATCAATCTTTTGAAATTTCTAATGAGCATTTTTTATCAATTAAAAATATTGTCTTTTTTGGTTATATTAACTTCTATTACGCATAAGCGATGATAACTGATAAGTGTACATAAGTATATAATATACATATATTTCCACATATAAATACATGTATAAGACCATTTCTCAATGCAGCAGCCAACATTCATTATCTGTCTGTTATCTGTGTCTTTTTTGCATTTCTGAATATGGACAAAATGTACTTAAGATATTAACAAAAATAGCATGTATCTTAAGGTATATTAGAGATAGCTTATTGATTTCTGCTTGAAAACTCTAGTTCCTGGATGTCATTATCAACATTATCATATAATCATCATCATCATCATCATCATTATGACGTGTGGCGCTGATGACGCAACTAGTCAACCGGTAGAGGAACGCGAAGACAGATGAATGGATCCACGATGAGATTTGTACTGGAATATCATTTTTCTGACTAATCGTCTAATAGCTTCACATAACATAACCAATTTGAAACAATGATAGGAAGAATAAGTGCCTTAATTTTTGCTTAGAAATGAAACCTAAGTGTCAGCTATTCTGTTAAATGAAAAATTTATTATTATTTTCTTTTCATAGGTTCAGAATAGAATGTAACCCATCAACAGAACATAATCACTTCATTCGGTATTCTTCGTTTCGGATGGCACTGAAATAGAAACCAAGTCGGAAATTAAATATCTTGGCGTCATTCTGTCTGCCGATCTTTCCTGGTCGTCTCATATCTTGATGATTTCTAAGAAAATATTCCGTCTTATCCTCTACATCAAGAAGTTAAGACATTCTGGAATAATAACACAACCCAACTTTTACTCCTACGATTCGTTAACTCTTGTATCCTGCATATTATTCTCTATTATTTCCTCTTAGTTTTTCCAGGGCTGGCTACTGAAGAAAGACTATACCTTATTACGCAGGATGTTAAAGGTTGTCAGTAGGGTAGGCGACGCTCCACCTAACCAGCTTGTTAATATTCTGGTTAACAGGCACATGGATTCATGTGAAAAAATGGGCAAAATCTATTCTATTTACAT